GAATTACCACGCGCTGGAATTCCAACGCATCGAATCATCACGCGCTGGAATCGCAACGCATCGAATTACCACGCATTGAATTACCAAGCGCCGGAATCGCGACTGAAGCGATTGATAGAGTGATCTCAGATTATATCCTTGTTATCCAACAGTACTACAATACTACACTATAATCCATCAGTTGAAGTTCGCAAAGTTAAAAGGAAAAAAAGAAGAGTAAACAGCGCTCGACTTTGTTCGCCCCAGACTTAAAAAGATCTATTTAACTAAAAATATTCCGAGTCACAAATTTGATAATCCTCCGTATCCGAATTATCCTCCGCTCATTTCGATACAAAAATCTTTTTACGTTCCTCCGTAGCTACGATCCGGTTGAAAGCAACGTTGAAAGAAAAAGTTCCTTATTCTCTTTTTGTATCTCCCTCGCTTTATATTCCCTTACATTCTTTCGTATCTGCATTCAGCGGACTAACAAAGAGTGTTTTTACGAACGAACGATCCATTTTCTTCTCAATTTGACACAAATCTCCGACAAGGGAGATAGTTGACACTCGTACGGTCGGAATATGCGGAGATTCAGTGATAATTCGAGGAAAACAAAGAAGATCCCCATAAAGAAAAGATTCGCGTTCCAGAAAGCCCGTTCCAACTCCTATATCACGAACCATGCCATAAAGAAGAAATCTATCAAAGTTTCCCGATGTCCTTGGCACAACCCCTCTCCGGGAAGCTGATCTCTAAGAAGGGGTTGCTCGAAAGAAACTACCCTCGAAGGGGGTCGTACGGCAAGGATTTGCGTAAAATCGCTTTTAGTCGTCGTTCTTGCTGCAATAAAATTAGCTTCGCTCGAAGTGGCCAACATGCAACGATATTTACGCGAGCCGTTAATTCAACGACAATACAGTTGATCAAGCGTCCCGGTGGCCGGCTATAAAGGCAACGTATGTACATACGTATGTATGTATGTATGATAAAAAGGGAACACGGAGAATGCGGTTGGCTGGGGTCCAGCTATGCTTATTGCCGGAATTTTTCCTACCGCGTGTGTATTTTGCTTGAGAAAGTGGTCATTTTATTCCGTTCGTAAATTCTGTCTATCCGACGATGCAACCTAGACCAGCACGAACTTCAGCTTTTGAGCAACCTTAACGTTCCGAATCACGAACCATTAATTCTCCATGCTTTCAATTAGAAAACGTCGGATTTTCGCGTGACGGATTAAGGGGATCTACGATTAAGATACGGGGATTTGAAACGTCACGCTGGTGAAATGCGATGTGTTAAATTATACTGACTTCGGGAGGAATGGTAGATGATGGATTAGGGGGGTACAAATTGTAAGGTTTGTACACAGAGCACTCACTTACCACGCGATGAAGTAGAACGTTCTCAGTTGCCACGAATTGGAAAATAACAAGGTTAGAGTACGACTCAATAGAGCACAATGCGTCGAGTTATTATACGATGGAACACAACGCGGTGAGCTATCACGTTTTGGAACTCAACGCGTCAGAATACCACGCTTTGGAACTCAACGCATCAGATTACCACGCGCTGGAACTCAACGCGATGGACTACCACGCGCTGGAACTCAACGCGTCGAATTATCACGCGCTGGAACTCAACGCATTGAATTACCACGCTTTCGAACTCAACGCGTTAGATTACCACGCGTTGGAACTCGACGCTTTGAATTACCACGCGCTGGAACTCAACGCGATGGACTACCACGCGCTGGAACTCAACGCGTCGAATTACCACGCGTAGGAACTCAACGCGTCGAATCACCACGCGCTGGAACTCAACGCGTTAGATCACCACGCGTTGGAACTCAACGCGTCGAATCACCACGCGTTGGAACTCAACGCGTCGAATCACCACGCGTTGGAACTCAACGCGTCGAATCACCACGCGTTGGAACTCAACGCGTCGAATCACCACGCGTTGGAACTCAACGCGTCGAATCACCACGCGTTGGAACTCAACGCGTCGAATCACCACGCGTTGGAACTCAACGCGTCGAATCACCACGCGTTGGAACTCAACGCGTCGAATCACCACGCGTTGGAACTCAACGCGTCGAATCACCACGCGCTGGAACTCAACGCGTTAGACTACCACGCGCTGGAACTCAACGCTTTGAATTACCACGCGCTGGAACTCAACGCGATGGACTACCACGCGCTGGAACTCAACGCGTGAGCTATCACGTTTTGGAACTCAACGCGTCAGAATACCACGCTTTGGAACTCAACGCGTCGAATCACCACGCGCTGGAACTCAACGCATCGAATTACCACGCGCTGGAACTCAACGCTCCGAATTACCACGCGCTGGAATCCCAACGCATCGAATTACCACGCGCTGGAACTCAACGCGTCGAATTACCACGCGCTAGAACTCAACGCTCCGAATTACCACGCGCTGGAATCCCAACGCATCGAATTACCACGCGCTGGAACTCAACGCGTCAGACTACCACGCGTTGGAACTCAATGCATCGAATTACCACGCGCTGGAACTCTACGTGTCGTGTCACCACGCACTGGAACTCAACGCGTTCTCTTCCCACGCACTGGAACTCAACGCATCGAATCACCACGCGCTGGAACTCAACGCGTCAAATTACCACGTATTAGAACTCACCTGGCGTTCATTTATAAAGCGTTATATGATACCTCACAGAATTATTACGTGCTAGATAGTAAAATGCAGAACGCGTTAAATTAAGAAGAGATGGATTGCAACTCCATCGCGAAATGAAAATTGAAGTGGGATATTTGAAAGAAGCTTTCTAACTTTTTTACCAGCGTGAAATTAGCACGACAAACACTTTGTGAATCCTCTATATATACAATCCCCCGGTCCCTCGTCCCCGTTATTCCCCCGAAAAGGCTTCACCCGGAAGTTATTCCTCTTTTTCATCTCCATACAGGGACTTCCGTTTCAGAGGGGGTTATCGTTTGATCGATGAAAGAGTTAAAAGAGAGAGGGTGGCGGAGAGGGTCGAGGAGCGGGGCCACAGTGATAAAGGGAGGACCACGGAGAATAGAAAGAAAATAGAGAAACGAAAGGGAAAAATATAGGGAAAATGATCTATAGAACGCTGAGCAAAGTAGATCCCAATAACAAAGAACCTCCCGATAAGCCCACGGGATTAGATTGAACCGGTGAACCAAAAAGAGAGAAGAAAAAAGAACGTCCGACTCGTGACCGTTGAAAATTTGTTGCTCCGACTGAATTTTCACTGCATTCGATCGCAATTAATTATTAAACTTTATATATATTCTTAAATCTAGATTACTTATCTAGTTTTGTTAGATTGCAAAGTCTTTTTACGAGCGAAGAAAGTCGAAAATTGTTTGCGCGTAGAACTGATGGATTCTTCGAAATGTAACATAAAATGATGCACGCCGTTGCACGCGATTCCGCATAGTTGCGAGTGTCCTCGAACGGTTTAATTTTAGTGTGGGCGCGCAACAAAACGATAAAAATATCGGGAAATCACAGTTTCGCAAACGGCAGCCGGTAAACAAGCTCTCTGTTGAGGGAATTGCGAGAGGGGGCCAGTATCGCGGTGCATCGCCGACCAATTACAGCGCAGTCTGTCGTGTAAACTAGTAACGCGATTCCTAGCAATACTAATTGTATTGCGTTTCAGGTACGATTGCACTTGTACACACGATCTTAACAAGTTTAGCAACTGTAAGTTACATTATGCATTGCGATGCGTTGAATTGTAGGAGACTGAGTAGAAACGCTAGGTATTAGTATGGGTGGAGTTGTTAATGCAGTGGTACATGGTAAAGGAGATTATGACGTGGACGATTAGCGAGCGGTACATTATCGAGCGGTATATTATGGAATTACCACGCATCGAATTACAAGGTGTCGGGTTACCACTTGGTAGATTACTACGTATCGAATTACCACTTGGTAGATAACGCGTCAAATTACAAGCTATCGAATTACGACTTGGTAGATAACGATGCATTGAATTACAAGGTGTCGAATTACCGCTTGGTAGATAAGCACGCATCGAATTACCACTTGGTAGATTACAACGCGTCGAATTGTTACATGTCGGATTACCACGCGTCGAATTCTTACGTGTCGAATTACCACGCGTAGGAATTACCACGCGACCGAATTACCACGCGTAGGAATCATCAAGCGTGGAATTACCATGCGACTAGATTACCACGCGTTCCAACTACCACGCGTCCCAACTTCCACGCGTAGAACTACCACGCATCCCAATTACCACGCGTCCCAATTACCACGCGTCCCAACTACCACGCGTCCCAACTACCACGCGTCCCAACTACCACGCGTCCCAACTACCACGCGTCCCAACTACCACGCGTCCCAACTACCACGCGTCCCAACTACCACGCGTCCCAACTACCACGCGTCCCAACTACCACGCGTCCCAACTACCACGCGTCCCAACTACCACGCGTCCCAACTACCACGCGTCCCAACTACCACGCGTCCCAACTACCACGCGTCCCAACTACCACGCGTCCCAACTACCACGCGTCCCAACTACCACGCGTCCCAACTACCACGCGTCCCAACTACCACGCGTCCCAACTACCACGCGTCCCAACTACCACGCGTCCCAACTACCACGCGTCCCAACTACCACGCGTCCCAACTACCACGCGTAGAATTACCACGCGTCCCAATTACCACGCGTTGAATACCACGCGTCCCAACTACCAAGGGTCCCAACTACCACGCGCCGAATTACCACGCGTCCCAACTACCACGCCCCGAATCTCACAGCGCTGTACTACCACGAGTTAGAATTCAGCTCCCTAAATTACGCGTCCACCAGCACAGTAAATGACTTAGCCTTGAACCACAGCCCCGCAAATTACAACCCCTCAAATTCCTCCCCACCTACTCACCCCCAATTAAATCTCCTCACCCCTCAAATCAACTTATGAGATCTAGAAACTTTCTCATCTTGCCAATTCTAAGTACATCAACATATCTACCCCCACGTATCGTAATACCGTGGCGCCAAGCGTCGCGACGCGTTCGGTGTTTCTCATCGTTTCGCGAAACCGCGGGTACCATCCGCGGAACCGGGTGACAGCGTGCATCCACTAAAAATAAGGACGAACGTAAAGGTTTTGAAACTCACTGAAGCTAGCCGCTGGCTGAGCATGATCCGCGGCCGTGGCTGCGGACGGAGGGGTGTAGCTGCTGCAGTAGTACGGCGGGTGCTCTATTTTGATCGCGTTTATTTGAGGCTGCATGTCGCTGAGGTCATGCAGTATGGACGCTGAAACCAGACACACATTAGCGGTTACGGATCCTCGCGCCTTCGTACGTCATCCGCTTTTCCTACTCGACGTTGTCGTCGATGTTGCTTTTGTTTTCTTGCGTTCTCGATTCTCGAGGAAATCGCACTTCCGCGCGGTTTCCTTCGAGAACCTTCCTCTTAACTCGGAGGGCACTAATGTATATTTTTTAAAGAAATCAAGGTTTTTATTTTCGAGAGGCACATTAAGATCCATGCTTTGTAATGATTCGAATTAGTTGGCATCAACGACGTGACAAATCACGGCTCGTTGCATTGTAATGTGCACAATTGCGGCGCGATAAATTATCATGCTCCGAATCACAGTACTGAATTATGTGCGCTGAATTACTCGTTCGAATCACTATGCGTGTAACTACCACGATTTAGTACTGTGCTTGGAACTATCACGCTTTAAATTTCGGTGCGTCCAATTACTAGGCGTAGAACTACTTTGGTGCAATTTACAGTGCTTCGGAAATACCACGTGACGAAATATTGTGCGTTCAATTTACCAGGCGCTGGAGTCAACGCGATGAATTACCAGGTGTTAGAATAAAGACGTATCGGGTTACGTGTCGAATTACTTTGGGTGAGATTAGAACGTATTGAGTTACTATGAGGGAGATTACGACGTGTCGAATTACCACGGGTAGAACTACTACGAGTCTCAACTACCACGTGTTCAAACTACCACGCGTCGGATTACCACGCGCTGAATTACCACGCGCCGATTTACCATGTGTCCCAATCACCACGCGTTTCAACTACCACGCATCAAATTACCATGCGCCGAATTACTACGCGTGGAATCACCACGTGTCGCAACTACCACGCACCGAACTACCACGCGTCCCAACTATCACGCATCCCAACTACCACGCGTAGAATTACCACGCGCCGAATTACCACGCGTCCCAACTACCATGCGTAGAATCACCACGCGTTCCAAATACCACGCGTTCCAACTACCACGCACCGAATTACCACGCGTCCCAACTACCACGCATC